TCGTCCTAACCACTTCACGGGGCCTCACAGAAACACTTTAGGGGGCCTCCTTTTGTGTGCTGGCGATCCACAGGTCTTACCATCCCCTTGACAATCCTGATTTGTCCCCTGCAGTTCGTACAGGAGGCTGGGGTCAGCCATCGCAGGTGTATGGGGAGGCAGGGAGGAGATGCAGGGCTGACCTTCCTGCTCACATTCCTGTCTGGAAGGAACCGTTCTGCCCGTGGACTCCCAACAGCTCTGGACCCTGCAGGTGAGGCTTGTTATGCGAAAAAATACCTTAGTCAAGGGATCTTTGGAGAAAAAAAAGAGGCATATAGGGCTCAACACTCCTTCCTTTTGAAATCCAAATGCTGCGGTGTGGGCCCTACAACGGCAGATGTTGTAGGAGCAAGAATGAGTTCGACAGAGAGGACGTGAATGGACTAGGGGCTGAGTCTGGACAGGCCACCCAGGTCAGGTGGCCCACGGGGGACCTGGGATCTCTACAGCACGGTGCAGTATTCATGCGTCCGAGTGCTCATCCCAGGGCAGGGAATCTGCTCTTCGTGGGATGTGCTGCCTGCTGGGTTGGAGGCCCTGGGCTTATGGGTAACGCCTATAACCAAAAGGTAGCCTGAGGTCAAAGCAAGGGCAGAGGCTTCTGAATCAATATAAAGTTGTAAAAATGTACATTTTGGAAGAAAATAAAAATTATTTGTAAATGTCTGATATATTCACCATAGTTCAAAAAGAAAAGGAACTCTTGCTTAACCAGCCATTTTATGCTACAGGTTACCATTTACATGAACTGGATGCATTCTTCCTGAGTGTGTGACACCAAGAGAATGCCCAGGATCTCAGAGTAGACAAACGTAAATGGGTGCAACAATTTTTTGTGGAATTTGTCTGGTCTCCAACACTAATAAGATCTGGCTAAAATCATGTATTGCTGGCTCTTCCAAAATTATCAACAGTGTCCTGATGTTTTAACTATGTATGATTTCTTGTCAACAGTACCAGGCAGGTCACAAGTCCTTTACTCCTTTCCCCCCATCTCAGGGAAATCTCGGCGCCATCATTAGACCCAGCTCCTGACAGCTACAGTCATCTTGCATCTTGAGGATGCCCAGTGGCCACATGGCCAGTTGGGCTGAAGTTGAGGGCTCTGTGTCAGGTTCATACCTTGTAAATGGAAATAGTTTTTTTCAAATGTTGTTACTTGGCAATCCTGAGCAGAAAATGCCCAGAAGGCACGGACGAATGCTGCTTCCAGTTCCTAGAGAAAATGTTGCTTCATAACCTAATGGACCAATGAGTAGTTCCACAAGACTTTAGACACTTACCGAAGATGCGTCCGAAACGGTGTCTACAAAATACACGTGCCAACTGTAAAAGTAGCCTATGGTGCTTAGCCTACCTGTGAAATGGAGGCAAAATGACTTACTGGCCAAATAAGTGACCCATGACTGTCCAACTGTAAGGTCTCTGAGTCAAGCCAGATGCCTGACAAGCCAGGAAAGCCCAAAGCTCGCCTGGGCTACATGCCACCCAAACTACATTCACTGCCCACGCAGCCAAGGGGTTTTACTGCAGGTGAATGAAAGTCATCACTAAGTTCCATGGCCTCAGAAGAACAGCAGCCAAGGTGTACTGTTATCTCAACACGGCAGGAAACCAAAGCAAGGAAATGCCCGAGAAACCAGGGGAGCAGGGGATGGATGAAGCCTCATCAAATAGCTACTGAGGAGGCAGAGCGGTCGGCCTAGGGAGCCAGTTGGGAAGCCAGGCCAGCTACACCCTCCACATGACACAGATCATTCAAAATCACGGAGGTGGGGTTCCCAGAGTCCAAGGGCCCTGGCTTGCCCTGTTCCTTCATCCACCCGTTCATTCACTCACGTCTTCTCCTGCTCCCCACTCTCCTGATTTTCCTCCTTGGTCTCTGTCCTGGACCTACTTCCCCTTGCTGTCCTCTGAGTGCCTGTGTCCAGGGCTCGGTCCTCAGTCCACTGTTCTCTCCGACTGCACTCAATCCCTGGGTGACCTGTTTGCCAGTCCTATGCCTTTATGGTCCATCAATATTGAGGTGATGCCTAAATTTATGTCCCTGTCTCTCACCTCTCTTGACTCCAAACTGGTATATGCAATTTGATTTCACTTAAAGGAGGAATTTAAAAGACAAGCAATAGACAAAGCACCAGAACAATCAGAAAAGCACATCAGACTTGAGCAGGAAACGTGCTCAGGGATCACCCACTTGTCTGAATTGTGTGGCTGTGCAATTCACAACCTGAGCGCTCATGGAAAGATCTGCATGATTTTTTAAAGTGCTTCACGTACAGTTGCCATTCATATATGCTCAACACTGTATCTGTTTATGNACAATTCACAACCTGAGCGCTCAGGGAAAGATCTGCATGATTTTTTTAAAGTGCTTCACGTACAGTTGCCATTCATATATGCTCAACACTGTATCTGTTTATGGACGTGGTCCCCAGGTTTTTAATAGGCTGTGTTTCAAAACCCTTTTGGTAAGTTAACATTCTGTGTCTTGGGATATAGCTTTTTACAGAGAAGAAGCTTGGCCATAATCATCTCTAGCTTTCTCCCAAATCCTACCTTCCTCTTCGTTGCCGCTGACACCAGCTTAGTTAGAGCTCTCAAGGCCTAAACTATTTCATTCCCAGCACGATGACTTCCTGCTCTCCCGCCTGTCCCCACTTTGGTCACGCCTACACACTGCAGCTACACTGACCTTCCTAACAGTGGTTCCCATCACAGCTGCTCAGAAATCTTAGTGGTTCCCTCCTGCCTGTGGGACTTAATAGAATTACAGACCATCAGGTGGGGTAGGCTAGTCCAGCGATCTCCAAAGTCCACTCTGAGTGCCTGTATCAGAATGATCTCGAGGTGCTTGTTACAAGTATAGGAAAGCAGACCCTTCCCAGAGCTGCTAAACACAAACCACCAGGGACGGATCCCTGGGCATTGCAGTGTCCAACATTTTGGGGCACTGATGTTTGACTGCCCTCTGTAACATTCCCACCAGTCCCAGTGATGGTGAACTAGTGACGTGATAAGCAGTGAAACCATCTTCGGGTGTCTCTGTGATGCACGGGTTCTGGTTCTGCCCTTTGGAGCCACAGGGTACAAGCCCGTTCCTTTCCACTCCACAGTGACTCTCACTATTGACGCAGCTAACCCGCCTCCAGCGCCTTTCTCTCTTTTTGAGGCCTGCTACCCCCATTCCTTCATTGACCCCAACAGATAAGGGACTTACCTGATCTGCCCTAGAATGTGGCTCCCAGGGACAGCCCCAGAGGTCCAGTGTGGTCCGATGGCCTACGGTGGGCAGGATCCCCTACTCCTTCCTCCTTGCTACAAACTCTACTTCTCTAATGAATCCACACTAAGATCACAGGAGCCAGCTTATTTTACCCACACACCGAGTAGGTCAAATTTTTATTAGCTCTCCAGAGTTAAGGTGAAAGCAGTTTGCCATTATGAGGCAGTGAATACACAGACTTGTACCCAGGCTGAGGGGTCCAAATCTCACCTCTGCTACTTACTACTGAGTGTCCTTGGACAAGTTATTTACCCCCTCTGTGCCTCATGTCTATGTCTATAAAGTAGAAATGATATTGTAGGTCTTGCATGGTTGTGGTGCAGATTNTTCTATGTCTATAAAATGGAAATGATATCGTAGGTCTTGCGTGGTTGTGGTGCAGATTAAACATATATATGTGTGTAAATATATATATGTATATAATATGTCATGGTGTAGATTAAACATATATGTGTGTGTGTGTGTATATAGATATATATATATATATAAAATGTATCTCTATCTATACATGTAGCTCAGAATAGAATAGTGCCTTGCTAAGTGTTACTATTATATTCTACCAAAAGGCCTATTTTGAGAAGATCAACTCTACTGAAAGCAGAAATATCATATTTAGCATAATTTTGGTAACCATTTATTTTTCTCCTTTTTAAAGCCTAAAAATAATAAAATTCTTCTCTCTGGAAAGAGAAGCAAGTTCTGTTTTTTGCAATATAAATAGTAGCTACATTGTATTTCAAAAATCTCAGAATGGCTCCTGCTTCTCTATGAAATTATGTACATTTTATAATTTACAAGTGATTCAAAGTTCATGCTTTGGACCCTCACTGCGGACAAAATATGCACTAGCAATGATGAAAGATCAGGAAACAAGTGGCTAACTCCCGACACTTAAAAAGAAAACGTTAGTGGTCACAGCAGACCACTGCGGGCAGACATTTAAATCCCAAACCTAAACATCAGGAGACAGAAGCTGGGAGCAGACATCACTTCAGGTGGAGGTTTCCCATCCAAAGGCCTGAGCAGCACTGGGACTCATGTCCTCCGAGGCATGAAAAACAGGCTGCCCACAATTTGCGAGAAACCTCACTAGGATTCTGAAAGCTTGGGAAACAAAATACCCCCATTTTATTTGACCTTAATTAAAATGTGAATACAAACCAAGGAGGTTCCAAGAGCCAAAATTAGAGTAAATTAACTTCTGATTTCAAGGTCTGATCTTGGAAGAATTTACCTGGACATTAATAGAAATGATCTGCATGACACAAATGACCCCAAGTGTCCTTTTCCCCAAATGTCCGATTCCAATTTTACACTATGACACATACGTAAAATCTGTTACTGCNACACTATGCCACATACGTAAAATCTGTTACTGCTACACATTTGAAAATAACATTCAAATATGGTTAATTTATTCTCTTTTGTAACTTGAGAGCTACCCCTCCAAATCCTCTTTGATCTAAGAGCTCTAAGGAAACTGGAAACTTGGAATCTTGACTCTCCNTACACTATGACACATACGTAAAATCTGTTACTGCTACACATCTGAAAATAACATTCAAATGTGGTTAATTTATTCTCTTTTGTAACTTGAGAGCTACCCCTCCAAATCCTGTTTGATCTAAGAGCTCTAAGGAAACTGGAAACTTGGAATCTTGACTCTCCTTACCTGATAGTGGCTTGATGGTAAAGGCTTGGTGAGGCTGGATCAGAGCAATATGGAACTCGAAATCTACAGGGCAGCTGCACTGCAAAGGAATAACGTATTTTTTGCTGCAAGAAAGAAAAATAGAAAATATTTTTCTTTATAACTAGCTCTTTTGGTATTAAAGATTAGAGACTCCAGCTATGTAATAAACAATTACAATAATAACAACAGTTAACACCAACACAGTAATTCCTGGGTGCCAGCTCTCCTACACCCCCCAGATAGTAACAATTCTAATCCTATGTGGTAGCACTATGATCTCCCCACTTACAGAAGAGGAAACTGAGGCACAAGAGAGAGTAAGTGTCCTGCCATGGTGACATGGCTAGTTAGTGGCAGAACTGGAACTGAATGGTTGCCAACTGTCCCAAGTGCCCACACTTCAAATACCAGTGTCCTTGCGGCCTCTCAAGTACTGCAGGTTTATCTGGTACAGTCACAGGGGAGGGGCGTCTCTGCCACACACCAGGCCCCGGGGAACCTGGGAGCCACTGAGCAATCAGGCCTCACAGAAGCTGGGAAGCCCCCGCCTTACACAGCTTGGACCTAGGCCGCGTGGAAGAAACAACACGGGGGGTTGTTTGTGGACACATGCTGGAGGCTCTGTTCGGTTAGAGGGCCAGCAACCAGGATAGTACAGGGTAGGACCTGGGGAGGGTCCGTGCGTTCAGAACCGCTCTCTCACACAAGACGAGGTCAGCTGCTGGGGACGCCTGGGGCTGTCGCTCACAGCACCAGGGAGCTGCCGCAGGGCAGGCCTTTCTCAGAGAGCCCTGAGCTTCCCCAGTCCCCTCCTGGTGGGCCCCTGCCAGGGGGGCGCGGGTCTGGGGAAGGAGCGCGGCCTAGAGCGCGGCCTGGAGTGCTGCAGGGCACTGCATCCTGCTCGGAGCTGGCGCAGGTNGGAGCGCGGCCTGGGGCGCTGGAGTCCCCCAGGGCACTGCATCCTGCTCAGAGCTGGCGCAGGTTATCCGGCACCTTAAGCAGCATGGCCCGCTTCCTCGCCTGCCCAGCGCCAGCCTATGTGGGAGACGAGTCTTATGAAGGCAGAGCTGAGTCCACTTGCTGCTCCGGGGTAACATGGGCAAAGTCCCAGAGTCTAAGCATTCAACTACTGCCTGCCGAGCACAGTGAAATCACTCTTTTGGGGGCAATTTTGGGGGCGCAGTACAGTCCAAATGTGATTTTGAAGATTATGCATGAGCATTTTCATTTGGCTTTAAATTCACTACTTTTTAAACATTTCTGAAATATTCCAAATACAGAGAATAACAAAATAAAGACACCTTATTCCACGACCAGGCTCTAGCAAACCTTCACTTTGGGAATCAGTGTTTTATGTTCATAGAAACCATCTGCAGGACAGTTGTACCCCTATAGACCCCTCCCCTGTCCTCTCCTGGGTCCTCCCTCCCCAGGGGAACCCACCCTGTTTTCACTACCATGCTCATGCATTTTTATAATATCACAACACATGTATGTACCCATGAAATATGTATTATATTGTTTGTTTTCAACAAAATTGTTCAAAACCGTGCTAATTTTGTGTGACGCTTGGCTTTTGACATTCGTCCATGATGGTGCGCGAGGCTCTGCTCGTTCGTTTTAACCAGTGACGAGGGTCCCATCTCACACGTACCTATCTACGCCCTGCTACGGGGCGTTTAGGCTGTGGCCACAGCAGGAGAGCGTGGCGCTTAGGTCTGCGCCCTCTCACTACTGCAACGTGGCAGCGACAAGCCTTGTGCGTGACTCCTCAAGCACCCGTCCCAGAGCCACTCTGGGGAACACTGAGAAATGGAATTGCTGGTCAGCCGTCAGGTAAAACTGTCAACCAAACTAGATGTGGCCAGAACGCTCTCCAAGCCCTTCTACCAGTTTGTGCTTCCACCAGCACCCAAGAGCTCCTGTTCTTACCACACAGGATCTTCCGGCGTTTTAACCTCTCCCGGCCTGATGGGGTGAAATGGCATCTCATTTTATTTTCACTTCATTTCCTTGAGGTTGAGCTTCTACGCGTATGTACCCATTTATATTTCCTCATCTCTGAATTGCCTGTGCATACCCTTTGCCCATTTTTCTATTTGGTTGTTTTGTTCTCTTATTAATTTGTAAATTCTGGGTATTAACTCGGTCAATTATATCCACTGATATAAATTCTAGAGTATTCTCTTCAGCCAACAGTGAGATGAACACTCCACCAGCTTTTAACCAAACTCATAAACCCTGTCCTAACTCGGGCTCTACCACAAGGACCCAGTCCGTCTTAACGCTCTGAGATGCTTCCTAATTCTGAAACACTGGGTACCTGTCATCACATTCTCAAGGTCACTGCTCTGGCCAGCGTGCTCAGTGGCTGGAGCGTCGGCCGCGCACTGAAGGGTCGCAGGTTCATTTCCCAGTGAAGGGCATGTACCTGGGCTGCAGGTTTGATCCCCGGCCCGGTCGTGGCTCCTGCAGGAGGCAACCAGTCGATGTGTCTCTCTCACATGGACGTTTCTCTCTCTCTCCCCCTCCCTCCTCCCTGCCACTCTCTCTAAAAACCAAGGAAAAAAATATATCCTCAGGTAGGATTTTAAAAAATTCTAATCTAAATTCCCATTGTCAAATACCATTAAAACCAATCTCCAAGGAAGAAGGTGGGATAAAAATCCTCGCCTGACGCCTGTTCCCCTCAGAAGCAAGCGGGAGCCTCAGGCAGAGCTCATCTCTAACGTACAGGAAGCGCCGCTAAACCCCGAAGCCCACGGAGTTAGTTCTTCGGAGGCAACCCCGCTTTGACCTTGCTGCGTTACTGATTAAACATCCTATCAATCAGGCTGAGGCTACGTGTAAAAATATATTAAGTACTTTAACAGAATGATTCCCTATTTTGAATAAAACCCAACCCAACTTTTAAAATACTAGGCTTATAGCCCTTGCCCAGTGGCTCAGTCAGTTGGAGTGTCGTCCCAGACACCAAAAGGTTGTGGGTTCGGCCCCCGGTCAAGGCACATATGGGGAGGCAACCGATCAATATTTCTCTCTTTCTCCCTCTCTCTAAAATCAGTAAACATATCCTCAGGTGAGGATTTTAAAAAACAACAAAAAAACACCTAGACTTATATTACGATCATGTACAAATTTTGTGCCTATTAGAAGAGAGCATGTATTTGCCTTACAGTAAGTAAATATTATAAAATAATTTAATATAAATTAAAATATCTTTCTTGTCCTTTCTCCAAATAAATGCTAGCTGAGGCCAGATATCACTTTAGTTCCTAGTTAATTATGTAGCACTTGTTTTTAACTTACTCTGATATTATTTTCTCATTTACCCTAAAATTTAACATTGTGTTTGTCAGAGGAGTAATTAAGGATTTTTTGAGAGGCTGAGTGATCTCGTGAATTACTGTAGATGATAAACCTTACATTTCCTCCCCGATTAAAAGATCTCAATGTCTAGAGGGTAAACGAGCAGGACATCTTATCATGAGTCGGGTCTAAGTCCTTTTTAGAGAATGCAGGTTAACTGACAGTGAGTATGACAAATTTTAATTTATGACAAGATGCTGGATTCAGATAGTACAATAAATTAACCATTAGCTTATGAGTGTGTAAAATGAGAGGGAAACACCATGCAGATAAAGGGAAGCCTCCCCACAGAGACGCCTGATAATTTAAACTATGAGACAGACTATACCACGTCAGTGGAGTAGGAGTTCTCTTTAGTCAGCTGCTCACTGGCAGAGGAATCACTGACAGATGGAAAGAGTGGACGGCAGTGAGGCATCTGTGTGCCATTCTTTCCCTCCCAAATGCACACAGGACTCATGAGAAGAATCAGCCTGGGAAAGCGTGGCGACTGCACACTGCGGCCGTTTTGAAACCAGCCCATAAACCCTTGGACACTCCTCCCATGGAGAGAAGAAGCCTGTCTCCGCCTGCGGAACGCGGCCCTCTGACTCCTTAACTAGAATCAGTGGACCCGATGCCGCACTGTTCCTAAGGCAAGACTGGGAAACGGTCATCCCCCACTTCCCCTGGGGAGCCCCCTCTGGAGCTGAGTCGCGGGGCTGTAAGAAAGCCCAGGCGCCTGGGAGGGCCCGCGGAGAGAGCCCGGCCCTCAGCGCAGCAGGCCAACGGCCGTCTCGGGAGCAGAGCCCGCTGGCTGCACGCGGAGCGAAGCCGGGTCTCCTCCGTGGAGCCACGGCCAAGCTGTGGACCCACCAGCAAAAGAAATGATTGCGGTTATTTTAAGCCACTATTTCTAGGGTGTCTTGTTACACAGCAATACAAGAACAGAAACAAAAACAAAACCTCAAACAGCATTCTCTTTCTCACCTCATTTCTGTTTTAATGAGTGATTACCTTACCTCATTTCTGGCTGTAATCTTGATTTGGCAATTTTTAAGTCTTTTGTTGTTCTTCTAGCCTTTAACATATACCTGTTACTGTGCTTGTATGTCAGTTAACCCTCTTAACAACACTAGGGGTTAAGAGGACTAGTGCTATGCCTATTTTATGGATAAATAACCTGACCTATGGGGAGGTCCAAGGCCACACAGTTGATCAGAGGTGAGGTGGAAGTTAAAGCCCGGGCTCCAGCCCGGCTGGGCGTGGCTCAGCGGTTGAGTGTTGACCTAGGATCCAGGTGATCGGGGTTTGATTCCCGGTCAGGGTACATGCCCGGGTTGTGGGCTCCATCAATGGCTCTCTCATCATTGATGTTTTTGTCTCTCTCTCCCTCTCCTTTCCTCTCTCTGAAATCAATAAAGATATATTAAAAAAAAATTAAAGCCCGGGCTCCAGAACCTGAACTTTTCACTGCTGTAATATCGGCTCTCCCAGGTCTCTAATATTGGGGACTAGCTCATGACACCTCAGTGCTTGCACTGCAGTCTTCGTCTCTGTGGACATCCTCTGTGAAACCCATCCCTCTGTGCTTTATTTGTCGAGCTTCTAGAAGATATTTCCTTTAATTAGGACATCAGCAAGAAAGGTCTATAAAATCTCAAGACCTTTCCTCAAATGTTCCCAACCTCCCTGCAGTGCTGACCTGCACCGGGAAAGGAGGAAACCTGGGCCT